CCGGCGGCGAGGCCCCCAGTGAGCCCGCCGCTGGGTGGGCCGGCATCGGCTCGGCTTGGGCAGACGGGATGCTTGGCCCCGCAGCCCCAGATCAGCGGCCTGCGGCTGCCGACTTGATGTGCGTGGAGCGGCAGCCGAGGCCGATGTCCTTCAGCAAGACGGGCATCCCGGCCGTACCGCAGACGGTCACGCACCCGGGGCGCTGGCGGCTGGTTGTGGCCGGGGCGTGGTCAGGGAGCAGCACAAGACTTCCGATCCACATCCTCGAGTGCCGGACCTCGCTGATGGGGCTGCGACGCGCGGCCGTCTGTCGGGCGGCCGAAGACTCGATCGTGGTCTCGCTGGGTGACAACATGGCGGACGTGCTGGCCACTGAAAGGGGCCGAGCCTCCGACTTCGGCCTGAACGCTCTCTGCCGACAGTCGTGTGCGTGGCAGTGGGCAGCGGGCGTTGACTGGAGGCGGCGGCACGTGGAGTCGGCGCGGTGTGTCTCCGACTTCGACTCCCGCCGCGCCAACCGGGGCGAGCTCATGCCGGGCGAGACCTTCGTGCCGAGCGGGGTACAGCGGCAGCGGGCGCGGCAGCGCTGCGCCGCCGTAGCGAGTTTGCTACTGAGGCGAACCGAGGGCGGTCAGGATCGCTCGAGGGAGTTTCCTGCTTGTGGCGCAGACGCTGTCTCCTCGGGAGCTGTCGGTGTGACTCGTCCTGGCCATGCGGCGGAGCGCAAGGCGCCCGCGGCGGCGCGGCCTAGGAGGCGTTTCTTTCTCGAACTGTTCGCTGGTCACGGGCATCTCAGTGGTGCTGTGCTACACACCGGGCTCGAGGTCGCAGCCCCGTTTGAGAAAAGGAACGGTGCCCACCTCGACCTTCTCAACCCGCGCATCATCAGCCTGATCCTCCAGTGGATTGCTCAGGGGCGTGTTTGGTGGATCCACTTTGGGACTCCCTGCACGTGGGCTTCGCGGGCGAGGTCTACGGGGTCATCGCAGTCTGCAGCGGCCGTCTCGGGGCGCGAGTGCGCAGAGGTCACCGTGAGGTTCCTGAAGGCCATCAAGAGAGCCCTCAGCAAGCACCTCATCTACATCACACTCGAGAACCCTGCAACTTCGGCCCTCTGGGAATGGGAGCCCCTTCGTCAGGCCCTGTCGTCGCTGGAGGCCAAGTTCGTTGATTTCGACATGTGTAGGTTCGGCACACCGTATAGGAAGACCACTCGCTTCGCTTTCACGCTACCGCGTCTTGAGGAATATATTCAGCTTCGGCGTTCGTGTTCTGGGCCTCACATCATCTTGCAAGGAAAGGTAACGATCCCAAACGACAACAGATTCTGCAGTGTGTGGCTCACCGAGCTCGCGGGCAAGTACCCGCCGCGCCTGTGCCGGGCGGTGGCGCACTGCGCCCAGCTGGCCGCTCCTCCAGGCGCGGCGCTTGGCCATGGCGTCCCTGCCTGGAGGTGGACCGCCCCGGAGGCCTCCAGCCGCTCTCGGAGGCCGCTTGCCGGGGTTTGTGCGCCTCGATGCCCGGGCCGAATGGTCTTTGGGTGGGAGCACGCCGCGGGCAGCTGGGGAGTCAGTTGTCCCGCCAGCTGGCGGCACATCGGCCCTGGATGTCTCAACCCAGGCTTCTCGGGAGGCCAAGAGAGCGCGGACAGCCGACACCGAGCCAGACCGTCCTCCGCGACGGCGACCAGCGGCGGCACCAGCAGCGGACCAGGCGCCGACCCCCGACGCTCTGGTGCTGGCCGCGGCTCAGCCAGACGTGGAGGCTCCGACGCAGCCGCGCCGCCCCGCGACCGCCCTCGCGACGCCCGCGCGGCGCCCAGCGGCAGCCGCGCCAGGCCAGCGCGAGGAGCGGGCCGCCCACAGGGCGAGCGCGGCGGCGAGTGCGGTGGCAGCCGCGGCGCCGGCCCTCACGGACCTGACGCAGGTCGAGGCGCAGTCCGTGTCGGAGGAGACCCGCAGGACCTACGCCAAGGCATACAACGCGTTCGAGCTCCACGCGGTCCAGCACGGCCTGCAGCTGCACCGGATGAGCACAAACACCCTCGACGAGGCGGCGGCGCAGTACATCAACGACGAAATGTACCTGAAAGGGCTCGACGTCTCCGCGCCCCGCAACCTGCGGTGCGCGATCATCTTCGTGAAGGCGCTGCCCAAGGGGTCGCTTCCGCGCTGCCAGCGGGCCATCAAGGGCTTCCTCAAGGACGACCCGCCGCGGTCGGAGGACCCGTGCCCGATCGAGGCCGCCGCCATCTTGGCCTTCGACCTCCTGGGGCAGCCGACAGTCACGGCAGCCGCCGCCGGGCTCGCGTTTCTCACGCAGTACGACACGTTCGCGCGGCCCTCGGAGATCCTGAACCTGAAGAAGGAAGACGTCATCGTGCCGAGCGCCGCCGGCTACAAGCAGACCTGCATCATTGTGGCCCCGCAGGCGGCCAAAGGCAGCTTGACGCCGGCGAAGCCGGCAAAGTCAGGCGAGTTCGACGACACCGTCGTCGTGGGGCTCGAAGGGCTCGGGCTGCCGTTCATCCCCCAGCTGCTGCAGTCCCTCAGAAGCCAGGCGCCCAAAGGCACGAAGCTCTTGGCCCCTCTGACGCTGCCCCGCTACGAGAAGGAGATCAAAGACGCGGCAGTGCGCTGCCGCCTGACCGACTTGAACATCACGCCGCACTCAGCCCGCCACGGTGGGCCGTCCACGGCCGCCCACCGGAAGCTGCTCAGCCTGGCGGAGATCAAAAAGAGAGGCCGTTGGCTCACGTCCAAGTCGGTGGCCCGCTACGAAAAGACCGGGAAGCTCCTCCGCCAGGTCGCCGTCATGGGGGCCAGGGACGTCGCCCGCGGCGTGCAGCTGCTGGAAGGCAAGCGCGGCTCGGCCTCGTCAGAGCTGGCAGCTCGCGCGTTGCTGGTGGCCAAGAACATCCACCGGCTGCGCCGAGGCGTGCCGATGCGCGCCTGAGCAACGCCTGACTAGGCATAAGCCCGCTCAGAGTATATGATACCAGTCATGAGGCATTGGCAAATTGTGAGAGTTTCCCGAACCCGCCCACCCGTCTTGTACAAGACCAAGATCTGGGATATTGGCAATTTGGCCGTAAGATGTCTCGACATTCGCTCTTGGGATCCTCGCCGGCTCCAGGCCCTGTGGTCCAGCTCAGATCTCTTTCAGCAGCCTCGCTTGAGGCTGACAGTGAGTCACGAGGAAAATGATATGTGAGTGAGTCGAGCCGTTGGCCCTTCCTCTCTCTCTGCCCTCGGCCCTCGTGGGGCCGCCGCTTTGTCCCGGGGACCCCCGGTGCTCGCACCGGTGGGTGGCGGGCCCTGGCGGGGCTCGTGGGCCTCCGGGGGTTTGCCTTTCGTCCCCTTCTCTCTCCCTCCTGCCTGGCGGCTCCCGTAATGCCCCCGCTAACGGTACATATAATTGCCAGTTGTACGCGTCTTATCTGCAGTGGGAGGGGTTGGCTCCGAAGGCGCCCAGCCCGCCCTCCCCCTTTTTCTGTTCCGAGTTTCGATTCCGTTCGACTCGAGCGTGCTCGAGGCCGTAAGATGTCTCGACATTCGCTCTTGGGATCCTCGCCGGCTCCAGGCCCTGTGGTCCAGCTCAGATCTCTTTCAGCAGCCTCGCTTGAGGCTGACAGTGAGTCACGAGGAAAATGATATGTGAGTGAATCGAGCCGTTGGCCCTTCCTCTCTCTCTGCCCTCGGCCCTCGTGGGGCCGCCGCTTTGTCCCGGGGACCCCCGGTGCTCGCACCGGTGGGTGGCGGGCCCTGGCGGGGCTCGTGGGCCTCCGGGGGTTTGCCTTTCGTCCCCTTCTCTCTCCCTCCTGCCTGGCGGCTCCCGTAATGCCCCCGCTAACGGTACAGATAACTATTTTTGTTTTGGCGTATGTTTTGACCTTCTTGGGGCTTGCTTGGATTTCTTAAACAAAAAACACGAAAATCATCGAACATCCCCCTGTAGTGGACAGGTCCGACATAGATCTATGAAGACGTCTGGGGCAGTCTCAGTACTATCTTGGAGCTTCTAGGGCGATTCGGGACGCGCGCACCGCTCCAGCACCCTCGGCACGAGTGGCGATCATATCCGTATCAGCGCCCTCGCGGTCAGGATTCTGGGGCGCGATCCCGCGGATACGCGGTGGCACGGATACGCTCCGTACGGGGCACCCGCGAGCAAAACTCCCCCTTGCCTGCGGGGTCGCGGCCCAGAGGCCTGGCCCGCGAGGTCGCGGATACGGATATGTTCTTCGCCCACCCCAGATCTTCGTGTGGAATCTGGCTGTGGCCACGAGCACGCCTCAGGAGGCACCCGACAACGCCTCGCAAATTGCGACTGCGATGTTGACGTCACCGCTCTTCACCCCAGCGCGGGCGCGAGGTGAGTTCCCTTGAAAGTACACCGACCCCACGCGAGCAAGCACCCAAGACCGATAGCGAGAAGTCGAGACGACACACGCGCCTACACGTTCATCAAGGACTTCTTCTTCCTCCTCCTCCTCCTCCTCCTCCTCCTCCTCCTCCTCCTCCTCCTCCTCTCCTCCTGACTTCAATGTGTCTCACACTGTATGTGCCCAGACACGCCAGAATCCAGATGCCACGGCCTCGCCCACCTGGCCTGAGCTGGGCCCGGACGCGTCTCCGCAGCGTTGGTCTGCCGCTCGCCCCTTGGCAGAACTGCGCGCGCTGGCGCTGACCGCCCAGCCTCGCCACATGTCAGGAGGGAAAAACACAGGCACAATTAATCGTTGATTCCCCAGAAAATATGAGAAAATATGGGAAGCGGGGGGGAAGACAAAAACCCAGAAAATATGGGGGAATCCTGTTAGCTGTGTATATTGATTTGTGTGTCCCACGGCCCCTTCAACACGCACGGGCAGCCCGTAGCAGGCACGGCCCTGGGGCAGGGAGGACGCTCGCGGATGCTGCCGTCGCCGCGACGCGGGCCCGCGCCCACTCCGTCCGCGACGCGCGGCCCGCCCCGGCCGCCCTTCCCGCCGGCGAGAGGACCTGCTGCAGGCGGACCTCCGGCGCGACGGCGGCGCGCTGGGCAGCGGCTGCTTCCTGAGCGACGCGGCCCCGCGCCGCCTCCCCGCGCGCCGCCCCCCGCCCGCCGCCCGCCGCCCACCGGTTTCCCGCGCGGACGGTCGTCCGGGTCCCGCGGGCAAGCGGTCGCACGGCTACAGGGTGAGCGCCGGCGAAGAGGAAACGCCACGAGCGTAAACTTCGGGCGTTGCGCGCGGATTTTTTGGATCCGCGCCCGGCCCCCCGACGCGCCTCCGGCGCCGCCCCTGGCGCGCTCCGCGCGCCAGGGAGGGGGGTCCAGCGCCGATCCAGGAAATCCGCGCGGAGCGCCGGCAGTCTATGTCCATGCCGCTTTCTTCTTCTAGTATGGATGCGCAACTTTCCCAGGTTTCCGTTTGCATCCTTCCCATCCGGCCCATGCTTGGCCGCTTTCGTTGGCCGCGCCCCGCTCGCAGAGTGCTGGCGTGGCCTTCCATGGCCCTTGCATCCTTCTCGCGCGTCCTCGTTCCACGGGTTGACTGCACCTTGGATTTCTTGACGAAAGGGAATCACAACCCTCCCAGACTTATGATGTTCCAAGCTACTTTTAGCTTTGACCACCAGAAAGAATTTCGAGCACCAAGAAAGCATTGAAACGTGAGGATTTTCACGTGTCGGGCCCTGGCAGGCAGTACTCGTTCGACACTGTTTCGACATTTTTCTGGGTGCTCGAAATGATTTCTGGGATGTGGTCTGTAAGTACGATGTGAGCAACATAATCCTGGACGAGCAAGTTTAGATCCCTCCAGACCAGCCACGAAAGGACGGCCATCTGCACAGGCCCCGCAGAACCCTCCTAGACAGCTCAAGGCAGAGCCCCTCCCAAAGTGATCGTGTTCTTGTTCATTGTTTTGCCGATCGGCGCGGGCCCTCGCAGCCCCCCCACTCCCCACTCATGGAATAGATCTTGGCTGTTTTGGGCGCCTGTTTCGAGCAGGTGGAGTCCCTCCCCCATTGGACGCACTGTTGCAAACAGTGGCGCTAAGCAGAGGTCTGGAGCCAGATCCCCCCCCCCTCCCCCTGTTCGCTAGATGTCGAACGCCGAATAATAAAACGCTCACAAACCAGACCCCCCCCTCCTTGCAGGATGAGGTCCAGAGTACCTTCCGCGCGGGGCATCCGCGAAGAATACTCCATACCCGCGGGATCGCGGCCAAGGGCCCCGGGCCCACAAGACCGCGGATACGGACGTGGGCTTCGCCCGCGAGACCGAGGGCTCGTGCAGCCCGTGTCTGGGCCTCTGCAGGCTTTGGAACCCCCCCAGGGTGCTCTCCATCAGCTGCGCTACGTCGGGTGTCGTCTCGGGGTGGGCCGGCCTGCTTCGCGTTGATCATACGAACTTGTGATACAGTCGACCCGCATAGGAAGGATGGGCAACCTTCCCAAGGATACCCTTGCATCATTCCTTCCTCGGTCCATCCTTGGCCACTTTCGTTGGCCGCGCGCCGCTCGAAAAGCTTCGACATGGGCGTCCCAGGCCCATGCATCCTTCTCGCGCATCCTTATGATACGGGCAGACTGTAGCCGAGTGTGTGCTTACCCCGGTCGGCCCTCATTACATCGGCTGCATCGTCTCGGAGGGCTTCGGTGGACTACACACCTGTGCGCTGATACGCGTGCTGTCGGCGCCGAGCCCAGGGGGGGACACGAGAAGGAGAAGGCCTTCTCAGAAGCCTCGGAAGTCCCCCGGCCTTCGAGCAGTGTCCTGAGCCTGCCCCGAAGGCCTTCCGAGAAGCCCACCCGCCTTCTGAGGAGGCCTCCTCCTCCTCCTTTCGCCCCCTCGCTCGCCGCCGACATCCACGTCCTGAGGATCCTCGACCCGAGCGGCCGCCCGAAGACGCCGACGCCGTCGCCGACGCCGCCCTCGGATGGCAGCGGGGACGGCCCCGGTGGCCCTCGGGCGGACCTCGGCGGCCCTCGGCGGGCGGCGTGGCTGTGTTGCCCCTCCTCCCGAGCACGACGGGGTCTCGTGGAGCTCCAGGTCGGCTATGACACTTGAGGTGGAGAAGGAAGAATGGAGAAGGGGAGAGGGGAGAGGTAGGAAGAGGAGGAGGAGGAGGAGGTAGGAAGAGGAGGAGGAGGAGGAGGAGGGAGGAGGAGGAGGAGGAGGAGGAGGAGGAGAGGGGAGATGGGAGAGGGGAGAGGTAGGAAGAGGAGGAGGAGGAGGAGGATGAGGGAGAGGGGAGAGGGAGAGGGGAGGAGGAGGAGGGGAGAGGGGAGAGGAAGAGGAGTGAGGGGAGAGGGGAGAGGTAGGGAGAGGTAGGAAGGCGAGGAGGTGGAGGAGGCGCAAGCGCACCCCCCGGCCTGCCCGTCTCCCAGCTCCTCTCGTCGTGGTGCGTGCGGGGGGGGGGGGGGACGCGGGAGTCAAGCAGTGGCGAAGTGTCCCGGGTTGCCTGCAGGCCCCCCACAGAGAAGGAGAGTGCTCTAAGAGCCCCTTCTGCTTGGCATCGTTCGGACGTGTGCATTTTTCCTTCGGCGAGGACCATCGAGGAGCATCCTTGATCACTTGGCGAAAAAACACGCTCGAAATCCAAAAAAACACAGGGAATGGACGTCCGAGCGATGCCCAGTCTGTGGGTTGCACGACATGTTCTCAGATATTTTTTGGCCGACGCTGTCTTGTTTCAAGCCATCGGGCCAATATCATGATAATGGCTTCTATCATTATGACGCTTTTGGTTCTAAGAACATTGTGTGGCACTTCTGTAGGAATGCCGGGACGGTCGGTCCCGGCTCAAGATTTGGGGCAGGCTTTCTCAGAAGGCGGCGGGGCTTCTCAGGAGCCATGGCGCCTTCTGCGAAGTCTCCCTGTGCCTTCGGGGGAGGCTTAGAAAATTTGTTTCAGGAGGCCCGAGGCCTTCCGAGCCTTCTGAGGAGGCCTGCCCCCTCTCACGTCTCCCTGGGCCCGCCGCCGATCCGCTCGAAGGAGAAACTTGCGCATACACTTTCGGAGCGCCTCGCGGATTTCCTTGGGTCTGCGCTCGACCCTCCTGGCGGTGCCTTCGGTGCCACCCTCGGCGCTCTCTGCGCGCCAGAGAGGGAGTTCAGCGCAGGTCCAGGAAATCCACGCGGACCTCCAAAGATTATGCCTGCGAAGTTGTTTCTTCCTCTATCCTCGTCCTCGTCCCCCGTCTCTGTCCTCCAGCCTCCCTCTGCCTCCTCATCCGCGCCGTCGTCGTCCCGCTCCCCGCTCTTTCCCTCTGTCGTCACGCTCTTCATTTTCCTCAGTGGTCCTGATCCAACCCGCAGATGCCCTGAATCTGGCCGTTGCACTCGTCCTCATTCTGTTACTCATCAGTTTAACCCCTATTTCTCGTCCTGCTGGTCGTCGTGTTCCTGGTTGTCGTGCTTGTCCTCGTGTTCCTCGTCCCTCATTCCTGTTCTGTTCCCTCCTCCTGCGTTTCACGTGTCAGATGTCCAGACCTGCAATCGTTGTCCTCCGTATGAGTGCTGTGCCAGCGGTTTTTCCCAGGGGGGGAGCTGCAGGCAGGGACGAAGGCCAGAAGGGTGACCCCCTGGGTTGCAACCCTTTTGGGGGGACCACCTGGCCTGCTCAAGGTCTATTCGGCTCGAGCTTGCTCGAGTCGAGGGTGCTCAGGAAAGCCCGCGTTGTCGTTCTCCTTGGCTTCTGGCTCGCGGCCGTCGTCTCGACAGGCTGCTCCCAACTCGAGCCGCGAGAGCCGCCTGGCCCGCTCGCTCCCGTCGACCAGCATCGTCACGTGCCTGGCGCACAGAAAGCATGGGACAAGAGATGCCATCGTCACACGGAGGCTCGCGGTCGCAAGGTGCAGCTGCTGCATCGTGTGCCGGGAAAGGCGAGCATGTGGACCCGTCTGATGCCAGGTGGGCAGGTCACGATCCGACCGAAGGTGGGAAAGGCCACAATCTCGGCGACGAAGCCCACGCGTTCTGGTGTGTGGTGGGAGCCCATGTTTGTGCGATCGGTCGCCGGGAAATGCACCGCCAAGGAGTCATCCAGGGCGATTATCGAGAAAGCGTTGGGCATCGGGGACGCGGCGGAGCTCGACAGGTACCAGAAGCAGCAGGGGGTGGCCGCCAGGTTGCAGCGGGTCGTTCAGACCACCTCGCTGCTGCCCATTGGCATCATGGCTTTGGGCAACTGGTCAGCTGGCTCCCGGTGCCGTACTGCGGGCACTGTTATCACCATTTGTTGTTCCGAGCTGCTTGCCTGATGCCGCGCTCTGTTGTCACCATGCAGCTTGACGGCGTGGGCTGTCAGGTCTGCGATGGGTATGGTCTCGCAGCTACGCGACGCAGTTCAGAGCGGAATTGGCGCTTTCAGCAAGTACAACGAGCACCAGATCACGATATGGGATATCCAGATGGCCGCGATCCCGCTCATGACGAGCGTTGCGTTGGTGGCCTACTTCTGGGAGGAGGTGAAGGAGTCAAGGGCGCAAAGACCGCCCCTACCCTGGTTTACGAGGCGCTCTGCGCTAAACCTCCTGTGGGCTGACAGGGCAAACCCTGCGAATCGCGCGTGACGCGCGGCGTCCTGGCGGCTCTCTGGCTTTGGGGAGCTCCCAGGGGGTCTGCATACCACGCACTTGGACCTACTACCGCTCCACAGCCGCGAATCACTATTGCAATTGCGTCTTGACGATCCTGAATCACGAGAGAAAAGAGTTTTTCAGGTGCTACAGCACCACGAATCAACGTTACCATTGCGCCCTGACAGTCCGACATCGCACCCAAACAGCATGTTTCGAAGGTTAACTATGATAATTCATCACACTGTCGTGAACTCTTAAAACGAAAGTGCGCTGCGCTTTGGCGAGAGCCGCATTTTTAAAACGACCCGCGCTCCTTCCATGAAGCCTTTGCAATGAGACGAGTGTCCGCGTCCCTCATGAGAATGCAACATGTTGGAAACGCCCCCCGCCCCCCATCCGTGAAAGTGTTGCACATTTCAAAGCCTCACGTTGATGACCGGTGAGGATGTCGCAGGCGAAACGCCCTGCCCTGCCCGTTTCGACCGGCTTC